CTACAACTACCTGAAAGGAGTTTGTAGTGGGGTGGGTGAGGAAATGGCCCCAAGTTGCACCAGGGGAGGTTTAGGCTAGATATTAGAAAAAATTTCTTCACTGAAAGAGTGATCAGGCATTGGAAGAGGCTGGCCAGGGGAAGTGACCAAACATTGGAACAGGCTGCCCAGGGAAGTGGTGGAGTCACCATCCCTGGAGGTGTTCAAGAAATGTGAAGATGTGATGCTTAGGGACATGGTTTAGTGAGTTAGGTGGTGTGGGTTGACGGTTGGACTTGAGGATCCTTGAGGTCTTTTCCAACCTTAATGATTCTATGATTCTATGCACTCGAAACTTTCAGGGTTAAGTATGAAGTTTGAGCTTGCTTACCAAAACTTTTATTTGACTTGATGCAAATCCTTTGAGATAAAAACAAGTAAGGCTTCAAATTGTTATGTTGGGATTTCTATCCTTTTTAAAGGCAGAGAGTCTAGCTGTAAAAGAAACTTGTTTAGAGGCCTTTCTTGCTTTATTTTACACTCTAATGCATTAAAAAAAGCATCATTTTAAGTGCAGTTGGTGAGTCACAAACTCTTAGCAAGGCTTCATGACAGTGATGGAAAGGGTGGCAGCAATGAACCTGCTGACTGTATGCAGGCAGTGGTTATTAATCATGTTTTGCAGAAGTCTCGAACTTCTGGCAGCTTCTTTACTGCAGAGTGCAGGGTGCTGTTTTGTTGCTTATAAAGGGAAGGCAATTTCTCCATGCACTTGCCGATACCTCCTCTCAGAGTCTCAGGAATTGAGATCTTGGATTGCTGGGGTTTTGTTGTCTGTCTGTCTCTCTGTAGAATTTAGATCCAAACTCAGTGTTGAAGTTGTTTGAGAAGTGTCACAATATTGCTAGCTATGTAATTTTTTCCCCAACTTGACATAAAACTATTGAGGGCTGCTGGTTATATGCCAAATCCTCTGATATTGAACAAGGTATGTAATCTTCCCTGTTCCACATGAGTGTGTGTGATTTTAATGGAAATTAAACCTGGAGGGAGAAGGAGAGATGGCAGTGTGAACAGAGGAGAAAAACTGATGCGAGGCTGTATGTTGAGCTTTGTTTAAAAAAATAAACCCAAAAACAACTTGGAGAAGACAATACAGTGCTGCTTTTCGAAAGAAGTGGCAGAACTGACATGGAGACCAAAGAAGCCTATAGGTAAAAAGGGGTAATAAAGTTTTACAGTAACTGGCAAACCCAGCTCCTTTAAAGAACATAGATTTATTTTGCTTGTGACCAGTATCAACTCTCTAACCCAGTCTGTGCGTAGTGTAGATGAATTACCTGTGCTGTTCTGTATCTGTTGTTTTAAAATATCCTGGTGAACATTTCAGTAACATATATGAAATCTGCAAGCAGTAATTCTTGTTTCTTTCAGGTCCATATTTAAACCCTTTATTTTTGTTGATGATGTAAAATTAGTACCAAAAGTACAGTCTCCTTCTTTTGGCAATGATGATCCTGCTAAAAAGATACCTCGATTCCAGGAGAAACCTGATCGCAGGCATGAATTGTACAAGGCACATGAATGGGCCCGATCTCTCCTTGAGAATGATCAGGTAAGAGCTGTGCAAACTGGAATTAAAGAAGCGTAGATTCCTAACTCCATAATGTACTTCAAAGTAACTCACTGAAAAACAAGGATACAACCTGTTCTGGCTAAACATTTCTCCATGCTATCAGAATTTTAAAAAAAAGCATTATCAGAATATTCTTAGAATCCTTGCAAGTTTAGCTTGAATAATGATGCCCCCTGAGGGGCAAACTGTTGTGCATATTTTTTTCATTATTCTGAGAGTGGTGCTCTGGCCTATTACTTTTACAAAATGAAAAGTCAAACTGACAAACTGATTAGTTTGTTCAATTCACATTGTGTGTAGTCTTTTAAAGTGATTATTGAACACCGGATGCTAGTGCAACATCGTATCAGAATTATATGATAGGATGATGGCAGGAATGTTGTAATTTAAATTATATGCTGGATTAAGAACTACATAGTTTGAGGTCTTTTTTCTTCAAGGAATAATTCGCACCTGACAGTTTTGCAAATCTCAGTTTAATGCATTTCTGTTAATTGGTAAGAATTAACTGAAAATGGCATGCGAGAAGAAAGGACACTTTCCAATACCATGCAACAGGTACCTGAGGGCTGAAAACCTTCCAGTGTAAAAATCTAAAGTGTTGAAGATCTCTTACAAGAATAAATTTCAGAATAAATAAAAGCAGGAAGGGGATTATTCTGTACAGCTTTTCCAACTGATACAACTTTTGCCGTCATAGTGGAAGTATTTCAATAACTGTTCTTTGACGTTTGCAATTACAACTACAGCAGTAAACTGGATAACTGGTTAAAAGGAAGTAAAACAGAGGGAGAGATCACCAGGGCATGCCAGTCACGCTGGTGTTGGTATTTTGGGCAATTTGTGGAAGACCCACATAGTCATGTTGAACTTTCACAGAGGACTTGCTTTTCTGCAGTTTTCCTCTGTGCATATTTGCAGAGGTCAATCTTGCTAAGATCATAACAGCATTCAGACTTAACCATTAGTCATTAAGAAAACCATGATAGCCTTTGCTAGTACAGACTTTATTTAAACACAGTTTGGGCTAGATGTGGTTTTTAATCCCTTCAAATGGTTTAATTTCAAGACCATGGCCTCTGTGGCAACATTGACTCAATGCGTAGCTGGCTCCCATAAGCATTATGCGAGATGCTGATGTAGAGAAGACCTAGAAGAGGCGTGTTAGCATCTTGTGAACTCTTCCCTATTGAAGCTCACAGTGTGACACCAAAAGTTGTGGCAGAAAAAGAAAAGTAGTTTTCAGTCAGGCTTCATGATGTACAAACTGCCCAGCTGAGAGATTAAACCTTAGTTTAGGCGCTCTACTCTTTATGCAAAAATGCTGGTACGAACCCTGGAAGGCTCAGAACCATTGCTCATTCTAAACACCTTTTGTTCTGGAATTCAATTTTGGAAGCTGCAAGCAAAGCAAACAACTTCTCCGTTTTTAATAATAATTTAAAAAAGTAGACTTTAAGCAACATTTGGATAAAACAAAATGACACTTTCTTCAGGAGTGAATTTCTTGCCCACAAACATGAAGATCAGAATGGCACACAAAGCCTTCCCTGGGATCTGGAGTCTTAATGCTGTTACATTAGACATCATTTCAGATCTAATCATCATCTTGCAGGTGATGATCTGAGGGGTATACATGTACGTAGCACAATCTGTACAATCCTCAGGGCTTCTAGTCTTCTCATATTGTTCTGTTCGCAGAAGAAGTTGTTTTACCTCTTCCCTGTGTGCAAACTTTACACCATTTTCCTCTATCACTCCATCTTCCTTCTCTGCTTTAAACTTAGCAACTCCTTCTTGGTTATTTTTTATTAATGTATGAATTGTTTGGTACTATTCCTTTTAGCCTTTGACAATCCAAAAAAATATTAACAGAAATAGTTTGTACTTAAAAAGGCTTTCTCATTTTTAAAAATACTTGAAAAGATCTTCATAACAGAAGAGATCAGTAAAATGTTTAATGAGCCTGTTTGCTGGTTAATTGAGTTTGGTTGTTTCATGCCTTCAGGATAAAGGCCAGAAACTGATGAGGATTATGTTAGACCTTGAAAAACAAGGCTTAGAAGCAATGGAAGATATCCTTACTCGTACAGAGGTTCTGGATCCTGCTGTTGACACAGAACTAAAGTTCTTCAAATAAAGTAAGCAAACACTTCAATCTGTAGATACTGAGTTTCTGGTACCAGGTATCAGTGAATATGAAATGTTAGATTTGATTCTGATCTTCCTCTTTCTCTTTTACACAAGCTAAAGGTGTCCAGAGTCGGGTCCAAAGCTACCTTTCTACCTCAGTGTATCTGCTTGGATTGTCTCCAGAGTCCCTTTTCCCTATGCTAGATTGCAGGCAATTTTTTTTTTTTTTTTCAATTTCACTCTTGCTTGGAATGGATTTTAAACAAATTTTATCTCATTTCAGCTACAGTGGCTGGTTTTAGACTTTTCACTGGAAGACTGCAGAGTTCTTCAAGCCTTGAAAGAAAGTCTTCGCACTTGTGAATTTGCAGGAAAAACATTTCTAGAGGAAAAAATGTTACTTGCTAGCTGTATCCAGTTAACAAATTACTTTCCTTTGTCCAATCTTGTGGTGTTCCTGTTTATGTATGTATATAGTGAAAGGAGAAAGTCACTGACTGGTCCAATTACTGTGTGCATGCTGGCTAATTTAGTACGGAATGTTTAAATACGTATGTTGGGCAACCAATTAAAGCAAAGATTAACTTCATCAGGCGAACTCATATTGTCATTGAAAGGAATCTGGTTTTTCCTCTATTGCTCAGGACTAGGCTTGCAGCAAAGCTGACTTGCATTTTTCTTTTCTTGCTAATTCATAGAAAGAATGGTAGAGCTGAAATCCCAGTTTTGAGGGGGCAGGAAGGTAGGTCCCTGGTTCTTGACCTTGCTGTACTGGCCTCATATGGGCATATCTGGTTAGAGTAACTCAGCATCTGACATTATGCCTGTACAAATTATCAGAATTAAGTCCCCCAGGTTAAGTTTTGCCTTCACCAGCACCCAGTTTAAGGAAGCTCCTGTTTGTAATGCACATGGCTGCTGGTCTAGTACGGAGTACTAAAACACACAGCCAGCCTGGCTGCCTGAGAGGTCCATACATCACCTATTGGCTCTTAAGATGCAATTAGTAAGCTGTCATATTGATATACAAGCTACAAATTTGGATTTTTTTTGAGGGGACAGATGCCGGACATTGATCAATACCTGACTATTCTCCATCTTTCTGCCTTTGTATTGCTGAACAGTTCCTAGTAATCTGTGTGGTAAGCGTACATGGCTGCTGAATCCATTCAGTACCAGTGAGTTACTGGTGGGTGTGGCAGTCCAACCAGTTAGGCTTAGAAGTGGCTGTCTTGTGCTTCCTTAAATTGAGTGCAGTTCTGCAGCATGCTTCCCTTCCTTGACAGTCTTACAGACAGACCTGCTTTTCATGTATTTTCTTCTTGTTGAAGTGAGATAGGGCAAACACTTTTAAGAATTAAACCAGTAAACACTGCTTCCTGTGTCATGCAAAGATGGTTGGGGTTTTTTGTAATAGCAGGTTAAGACAGGAAGTCCATGTCTTTAATAACTGGAAGTTAGCATATGGAGTTGAAATCCTTCACTGTTCGGGGAAGGGGATGGTGAAGAACCACAGAGTTTTGTACTGAGGAAATAAAAGCTCCTTAGAAGGCAGCAACACCTCAACTTGAAACTGTGAGAGTTGTGCATTAGGGAAATAGTCATTGCCATATTGGCACACTGCATTCTCAATTTTTTTAAATGAAATTGTTCAGTTCAGACTCATTACTTTGATATTACCTTATATGGCAACTGGCAATTGGACAAGAAAACATTGGGCCTTTTCACTTACAGAAAACAAACATGAAGATATTTTCTCTCATGGCCTACCTAATAATCTTCCCATTCACAATACATTCCTCCCATGCTATTACAGAAACAGCTCCTGGGCTTAGGTATTCTGAAAACGGAGACGAGGGAAGGAGAAAATAAACAAGTAAACCCTAAACCTTAGCTTCTCTCTACCTAGCCAGAATAGGGACTGCAAGGAGCACACTTAATTTCAGAGGGTATTGTGCTGGATGAAGCCAGCTGAAAGAGCAGTGTGCTTTTGCCAACTGCCCACAACAGAAGTACATGGATTTCCCATGAAATCCACTGTTGGAATGAAACGGTACTTGGAATTAAAATAATCTTAATCAGAGTACATTTAGCATATACTGTGTTGAACTTCAAAGCTGCTTCTATAAGCTGTCGCTTGCTGGGCATTTTGCATCCTGGAGCTGGATATTTGTGAACAACGGGAGAACAGGGAGGAAATTATTACCCCCTCCAGAGAGCCAAATTAGAATATACCACTTCATGCAGCTCTTTTGCACGACTTGAATCTCTGAGAGTTGGGAGGGAAGCAAGATGAACGAAGGGGGTGTTCCCGCTAAAAACACAATGTATCTTATTTGCCTGTTTCTTAAAAAAGAAGAAACCAACCTTTGCAATTATCTTGTGGGAAATTATGTCCTTATGTGGAACTGCTTATATGACAGAACTAATAAATTGTTTTGAGTACGGTGATCCAGGTAGTAATTCTCTAATAGTAAGTTGCCTTTGCTTCAGCTTTAGTGCATTTAAAACAAAAATAATACTGTGCTACAGCAACATGCTTGATTGCAATCATTAGTCCTACAAGTTTGAGAAACCAGAGCACCCCTATGGCCTTAAAACTTCCAGTGGACTTGAGCACAGCTGTGGCTCAGTGCAAGAACACAGTGGGACCAACTGCCACTAGGTGACGGCCACTGTGATTCTCTGTATCTCTGGTAATAGCAACTTCAGAAGCTTCAACGCATCTGGAACAACAATCCAGTATAATATGGAAATAACATTTCTCCAGTGCTCACAGCTAGGCACAGGCTTTTTAATTTAATCCCTGAAAGATGATGTTTGCTTCTAAAATATCCCTAATCATAATAAAAACAGAAGTAAATTTTTTTCTCCTTTAGCTATCTTCTGGCAGGTAGTGTAGCATTAAGTAGCTTTGAAGTCCTTATGAAGGTACTTATTACAGAGCAGTACACAAGTTCCAGAACAAGTAAGTCACCTTTAATGGCACTATAACAAAATATTGTTCAAATCAGTATTCAACTTTTCCAGTTTTTTGAGAAGCAATGTGTATGCTGACCCCTGCTTATTACTATATTCATGCATATTTATCAAGTAACTATAATAATGACATTGACAGCAAGTGTTGGTCAAAGCATGACTAATTTTTTTTCTTTTCACATGACATACAGCAAGGTATCGTAATAGGCTACAAAAAGACTAAAGAGCTTCTTACCCTTACACCATCTCCGCACCATGAGCATGCACGTGTGTGCAAATAGGAGTTACAGCTAAGTAAGCTGTTGCAAGACCTAAGAGAAAAGCAGTGATATGTAAAGGTGCAGTTATCTGTCTTTTCCAAACAGCTTTGTTGAAAGGCGTGGCCATGGTGAAAAATCTTCACCTGTCATCTATAACATTATTATAGCTGCAGCTAAGGGGAGTTTATGGCAATTATATAAATTAATGCCATAACTGTAAATAGCCTAGCTGTTAGCACCAGGCTCACCCTGTGGAACAGCAGTGCCCTTCGCAAGCTGGAGAATCACAGAATCATGTAGACTGGAAAAGACCTTTAAGATCATTGACCTAACAGTGCGAAGTCCACCACTAAACCATGTCCCTATGCGCCACATCTACACATCTTTTAAATACCTCCAGGGATGGTGACTCTCTGACTTCCCTGGGCAGCCTGTTCTGGTGCTTGACAACCCTTCCAGTGAAAAATTTTTTCCTAATATTTAATCTAAACCTCCCCTGGTGCATCCTGAGGCCATTTCCTCTTATGCTGTCACTTCTTACTTGAAAAAAAGAGACCAACACCCTCCTTTCAGGTAGTTGTAGAGACCAATGAGGTCTCCTCTCAGCCTCCTTATCTCCAGGCTAAACAACCCCAGTTCCCTCAGCTGCTCCTCACTGGACTTGTGCTCCAGACCCTTCACCAGCTTTGTTGCTCTTCTCTGGACATGCTCCAGCACCTCAATGCTTTTCTTGTAGCAAGGGGCCCAACACTAAACATAGTATTTGAAGTGCGGCCTCACCAGTGCCAGTGAGTACAGGAGGACGACCACTCCGTAGTCCTGCTGGTCACGCTATTTCTGATACAGGCCAGGATGCCATTGGCCTTGGCCACCTGGGCACACTGCTGGCTCATGTTCAGCTGGCTGTCGACCAGCACCCCCAGGTTCTTTTCCACCGGGCAGCTTTCCAGCCACTCTTCCCCAAGCCTGTAGCGTTGCAGGGGGCTGTTGTGACCCAAGTGCTGAAACCTAGGAAAGCTGTGAGAAGGGGAATCAAAGAGTGGTTGAGGTTGGAGGCATAACTGGAGGTCATCTGGTCCAGCTCCCCTGCTCAAGCAGGACCACCTACAGCCAGTTGCCCAGGACCACAGCCAGATGACTTTTGAGTATCTCTTAAGGAATGAGACTCCAACAACATCCCTGGGCAACCTGTGCCAGTGCTCGGCCATCCCCCGCAGTCAAAAAGTGTTTCCTGATGTTCAGACAGAGCCTCCTGTGCTTCAGTTTATGCCCATTGCCTGTGGTTCTGCCAGTGGGTACCACTGAAAAGGGTCTGGCTCCATCTTACACCCTTCCTTCAGGTATTTGTACACATTATGGGATCCCATCTGAGCCTTATCTTTTCTGGGCTAAACACTTGCAGCTCTCTCAGCCTTTCCTCATAGGAGAGATGTTCCAGTCCCTTCATCATCATAGTGGACCTTTGTTGGACTTTCTCCAGTATGTCCATGTCTCTTCTGTACTGAGGATCCCAGAACTGGACACAGCACTCCTGGTGTGGCCTCACCAGAGCTGAGTAGAGGGGAAGGATCCCCTCCTGCGACCTGCTGGCAATACTCCTCTTAATGCCGTGAAATGCACAAGAATAAATGTAATTCTTGCTAGAAATAGGTATCTTATGACCAGATGTGAAGATCTGTGATCCAAAGACCTTACCCCAGGCTGCATATTAAAAGCAAAAACGCATGTCTTGTCTGCTGCGAGGTTGTTTTTTTTTTTCAGCCAGCTCTACTCAAGGGAACAACCACTGTGGGGACTGCTTGTTCCATCTGGTGTATTTTGAACCATGAATCCTCACTGCTACTATGGGTGAACAAGTCACTCTAGTTGCCTGTAGGTGTTGGACCCCTCATCCAAAGGCCTGCTCATTGCTGGGTAAAGACAGTCAGTCACACAAATGGTAAATATCCACTTTGCCAGCAGGAAAAGACAGGACACGCACCCTTACGTACATACTTCATGCCATGTGTACTCATACTTTTTTTTTTTTTTTCTACTTAGAGTAGAACAACTTTCTTTTCCTCCAGTTCGGAAAAGTTCTGTCTTCTTTGTCAAGTCCATGACCACCCTACCCAGCTGGGCTTCTTCAGACACTATCCTATAAGGATCTGTAATCAATAGGAGGCAGGCTCAACAGCAGCCACAGCTCTTTGTCATCTCTTTCCTCTTCATGCTTGATGAGAAAAGGATTGTGAGCCTGTCTATTCATGAAAGTGCTAATCTGCTGCAGTCTGAGGATAGGCAGAATACAAGAAGTGAAGAAACATACAAAGAAACTAAAGGTATCAACGTTAGTTTCTTATAGTTCATTTAAAAA